TTAACTTGGTTTTCCATTATTTCCAACTTTTGTTGAAGAATGGCATTTTCTAATTATAGTAGAGATTTTAAAGATGGGTCCAGTTCAGCTCGCATCATATCACGTTGCACTGTAACAGTCTGTAAATTTACCTCTGCTTTTTCCACATTACCTTCCAATTTCAAACCCGTGGGGCAAATGCTTCAAGTTTACCTTAATACTCTCTTTACTGACTTTAATAAGCTGTAAAATAGTTTCAGATGAACCTCAAAAGGCTTGTCAGGATTTACCTGGTCCTCAGGCTCTGGAATTCTCTGAGATAACAAATGCACTTACTGTGGTAAATAATCAGAGATCACCTTTTCCTTCTATGCTAGGCTGGGAATGATACATCTGATACTGAGAATTGGAGACAATAAGAATTTCTGGGCATAGACTATTATAAAAGTTTCTGTACTTTGTTAAGAAACCCTAATTGGGAAAGAACAGAGGTTGGGTGGCCATCAGACTTGGATTCAAATCCTAGCACCCTCAGTTACTGACTGAGAGACCATGAGCAAGATACGAGTACTGAACCCCTCTGGGTTTTGGTTCCCTCATTTGTAGCATGGGGAAAAGAATAGTACAGCAAATCCTTGAATAACGTTTCATTCAATGTCACTTCATTATAACATTGATAAGATGCCATAGGAACTTAACTCTTGTTTTTGTCAATTAGCCTGTGGTAAAACTGGTTTCATTATATGTCATTCCACTTACAGTTGCAGAACCTATCGGTGATATTGAGGACTTAACTGTACCTCCTTTAAGGGTTGTGGGGAAGATTTTATGAGATCGTGCCTGGCATGTAAGATCTCATGTTTAATGAGTCCCGACTGGCCAAAGAGCCCAGGGTGGGGCAGAACTACTTGCCCTTTTCTCATTTGAAAGCAGCCAGTAAGAGACCAGAGCAAGAACTGGGATAAGTAGCAAAAGATGGTACAGGAGGGTGATGAGAGATAGGATGAGTGTTTTCATGTCTTTCGTTAATCTGTACTTCCCTTTCCCCACCATGGAGGATAGACTTGTAGTGTGTTTGCACAAGTCTGTTCGGAGAGCTTGAGTCCATTTTAAAATCACCTCAAGAACTGCTCCACTGCAAAATCAAGCATCCTCCAAGGGGGCAGGAATCAAAGCAGCGGTGGGCACTGGAGCCCTGGTGGCCTGACCAGTGTGTGGGGGTGTGCCTGTGACCCGGCAAAAGCAGCCTCAGACAGGCACAATTAGTGTGTCTTCTTAACTTTCCTTCTAAAGTTATTCGAGGGGACTGTGGTTTTGCCTTGAGCAAAACCCCCTTAACAGCCAGGAATCTAAAAACAAACAACATTATTTTATTAGGTTACCCCAGCAGATGAAAGCAGAGTGTTCCATTTGGACTCTTTTGGAGTCAATTAATGCATTAGCTAAAAACAAACCCTTCTGAGCGTTCCCGTTGTCCTCAGCAACTTCTAAAGGAAAGCTTGCCACTGTGTTCCTAAGGACACATAGGCAGTGAAAGGAACAGAGGGATTTAGTTGTAAATAATTAATAGTCATTGATCAGAAAAACTAGTTTAATGATATATCTTAACCCTAATGTAACACTGATCTCAAAGGATATGATTTTTTAAAGCTTTATTTTTCACCATGACCAGGAATTTTAAATACCGCACAGTTTGTATGACAGTTCCTGACTCGAGGTAACCAACTAATTAAAACCAATTTTAAATAACTGTAGTTGCTTTAATAGAAGATAAATTTATGACTTTTAAAGGAACTAAATAATGCTCAAGATCGTGATCGTTTTCAGTTATGGTTTTAACTCAGCAGCAGAAAAGGCCTGTAAAGTAGGAAAATAATAGATTGCTCGTTGACAAACAAAATTCTCAAAATTCCCATCCATCTATCCATCCATCCATCCTTCAAAATAATAACCAAGAGCTCGCTAAGTGTCACCGACTATATAGCACTACAATCAGATACATTCCCTGCCCTCACAGAGCCCAGTCTAGGCTTTCAATATGAAGATTACCACTGTTTCAAGAGAGGTGGCAATGCTTTTAGCTGCGTCAGGCTATAAAATGAAGCAGTGACTCCCTGTGGTCTGCATAACATGGAAAGTAGAACTTTTTGGTGAGGGTTGAGTTATTCTCAAAAGGTAAAATACAAAAGGCACCCGCCTCTGTGGGCAGTGCCATTTGTGGAAAGAACATTTCACTGCTCTTACCAGGGAACGTGTCTTTTAAAAATCTTTGGAAAAATCCACATCCTGAAATCATTTGATTACCCTGCATTTAAAATGAGATTTTGCTCAGTGGTGAAGACACAAATTCATCCCCACAAGTATGGCTTCTGCGGTAAAAGGCACATGACTTTTAGAGAGGGCTTATCTAGAAGGTTGATTAATGGGGACACAGGACAGGATTCATCGAATTGCATTATTGGAGATTTCCCTCCCTCTACCTGAAGAATTCTAACATGCCTTGCTGAATACCTAGCTAGAGGAGGTTACAAACAGTTTCAAGCACAATTTGTTCCCGTTTTTATTCCCTGCTCACTGAGTTATGTGCTGCTAAACATTTCCAGAAGACTGTCAAAATGTAAGCATCCTGAGGTTTACATAGGCCACACCATTAAATAACATATAAGCACAAAATTTTAAACATTGTTTTCCAGCAATGGTAAATATTTTAGCTAAGTAAAAACTGAAGCTTGAAATGCAATAAGCATTTAAATGACTCCTTTCTGTGCCAGAATTCTTATTTTCCCCTGTGCAACCCTGGCTGCTGGGATTAAGGCGACCCCAGGGAGCTCAGCAAATGGTTGTGGGTTATGAGGTGTAGCATGAGCTTGGCGACAGCGTGCCACCCAGCCTCAAGAAACCCAGCCACGACTGGAACCCAAGAATCAGTGTGTTCACTTTGTGGTCAGCTTCACATTTTTTCCCCTCCTTGCAAAAAAAAAAAAAAAAAGCTGCTACAAAAGTCAGCCCTCTTTCCCACCCCTCAAGCAATCACAAGGTGGAGCAAAGGCAGAGCTGAAAGACTTCAGGGCTGGCAGAGCAGGGGGGGGGCTGGGTGGGCAGGCAAGTGTGTGGCAGTTACACGTCTTCCAGTTCCTCAGCGTTAAGGGGGGAAACGGCTGGCTGCACGAACAGCAGCCACAGCACTGGCGACGTATTGTGCTGTCACTTCAGGAAGAAGGAAAACCCAGAACAAATTTGACGTGGTTTTCACCACAGGGTGATTGCAGTTCTGTTCAAGGATGTCATAGTCACGCCACCCACTGAGCAGAACGCGGATGGAAATTAGGCCTCCTTCAAAATGTCTCAGGTCAGGGCCTATCCCTGAACAGAATAAGCCAAGGGTTTTAAAGAAACACAGCCCTTTGGGCCTGTCTCCTTCAGCTTCTTGGTACCTCCGCAATCTCATTTACGAAGAATCGCCCTCTGCTACAGGTTAAGTCTAAGTGAAGCCAAGATGCTCTCCCACCAAATACAACAGCTCTTAAAGCAGGCAGAGCAATGCACCATTTATGAGATTCGAGTCAGTGTTTATCACATGAAAATTTGATCTATATAATTTCATGCAAGTGAAAAAAAGGAATGCAGAGATTTACACTCAGGGACTTTTCTCCACATTCAAAAGACCAAAGGTTTGAGTGCTTTGTTATTATAACACCATCCACATTTTCTAAGGCCTGTTTGGAGTTTTGTGACTGGTCTTTGAGATTAAAATGTAAATATTTATTATCACTTATCCTGTTGAATGGGAATGGGGGTGTGGAGGGCGGGTAGAGGGAGGGGTTTTCTCTTCAGTTTTGCCAAACCAAAACCATGGAGGGAGCCACGTGTGTATGTGTGCTTTTGGAGGAGGATATCAAAGCTTTTGTTCACTTAAAAAAGAAAAAATCAGACTTGTGGATGGCATTGGCTCTTCCCAATTTTTAACAGTAATTGAATGTCAACCTATTGACCTACAGCAAGACAGAGCTTGAAAAATGGCTTTCATTATGGAGAGGAACGTTCAGTCTGACTGCCAATAGGTTAATCAGTAGGCTCTTCAGGGGTATGACTGTTGTATAGGAAGAGCCCTAAATTCTGTTCTACACTAGCTTCTTTCCCCAAATCATTATCGTGTTGGCCAGAAATTACCAAATGTCAGATACAGTGGTATATGGTTTTGGTATGACGAAGTCAGAGAAAATACAATTGCCATAATGTCATACCGGTTTTCATTCCCAATTTCCAGTGAAACTTGCATTACTTTAATTCTCATGATAAGAAACTACAGAGGGGCCGGCTGAGTGGCTCCTTGGTTAAGAGTTGGCTTGGGGGGCCGGCTGAGTGGCTCAGTTGGTTAAGAGCTCGCTCAAGAGTTTGAGCTCTGAGCAACAGCGGTTCGAGTCCCGGCCTGAGCTGAGCAGCCACTGAGCTGCTAACAGGTAGCAGGATGGCTCAGCTAAAAAAAAAAAAAAAAGAGTTGGTTCGGATCCCACATGAGTCAGTGACACTGCCCTCTATAGCTAAGATGGTGAACAACAGCTCCACCTGGAGCTGGGCTGTCGTGAGTCGCGGGCAGCCAGTGTGAGCTGCCATGAGCCACTGTGAGTGGCCGTCCAATGGCCGACAAGCGATCTGCCTCACCTGGGAAGGGCGCAATGATCACAATACCAACATGGGCCAGTGAAGCGACGTCCTCCACAACTAGACTGAAGAACAAAAGGACAGCAATTTGGCTGTTCCCCTTCCTGATTCTCCAATGCTGTTCCGTTCCCCAACCCCCCAATAAAATCTTTTTAAAAAAAGCAACTACAGAGAGTGCTGGAGATGACGAGAATAAAAATGTCAGCTCGCTAGGTTCTTTGCTTATTTATCAATGGTTAAATGTAGTTTCTCTTACTGTGAAAATGGCATTCTGAAAATGATCCCCCTCAAAACAAAACAGAGAGAGTACAATAATGACAATTATTCACCATGTGACATGCAAAGAAAAAAGAATTCAATAGCTTTAAAAATAGTTTATTTCCTCTTTCACAAGCATACAAGCCTTCTGATCATTATGCAAGGCACCACAAATTAAATAGAAACTTACGTTAGAATATATTTGTCTCATATGATTCAAGATAGAGTGGGTTTTAAAAGCAAATGGGTGCCAACTGAGGGGGATCGGAAGGAAATTAGCACAGGTACCAGGAATGGGGGCATGCGTTTCTCTATAGTGTTTATTACAGGCAGTAATCAGCACATGTGTGTCCTACGAGCAGTTATCCCAAATTAGTACATCCTGAAGAGGTGCTAATAAACAAAACAATGCCAAGAGCACTCCCCTAAACTACAAAGATTTCTCACTGATAGTCTTGGTACCAGTAACAGTATATGATTATTACACATCTTCAATATGGTTTTCATTATAAAAACAAAAACAAAACACGTTCACATAAAAGCTTCATAATATAACCCAGAGGCAGAATTAGTGCATGTTTAAAATCTGAAGCCAGGCTAGCTATATTTTCTGATGATATTTTCATTGCTTCCAATGCTTTTTACTTTTATAAAAATGTAGCCAGTTTTCTATCAGTTTAAACATACACGCGATACACCTTGCTCTGGGTACCATGGCTGCCTTTCAGTAGCCTCTTTGGGATTATATTCCTAATCCAAGTAGAACAGCTCCAATTTCTATTCAGACTCGCTCTTTCTCCCAAACCCTGTGTTAACCAAATGGCAGCAAATGGCAGATACAACCAAAGGTTTGTGAGCAGAGCCCCAAAGTATAATTATGAATAATTTTACAATGATCTGGATACGAAAACACAAAGAAATTGAATGATTTCACTTTATAAAAAGCCGGGACTTGAATTTAAACAAGATATAGATGTAAGAGGAAGAAAATATTGCTTCAATCCGAAATGGGGCGTCCTTTCCCCATGTAACAACAGGGCTGTAGCAACATCCCAGGGTTGGTCCTCCTAGGGGCCTCCACTAGGGACTTTTGAGGTAGATACTGATGGCTTGAAGAGAGGTAGGTAAAATCCAAACTTGTTTTCAATCCCTGCGAACGTTGCAACTGCCAGTTTGTAGCCCCCAACGTGATCGGGATTGGGAGCAGGCAGTGTGATCCGGGATTTAGGAACTGGCTCTGACCCCATGGGTTTCCTAGAAGAAGAAAACAGTGAGAATCTGAGTTTTGTTTTATTTTTTATTTTTTTAACTTGGTAAAAACAACATTCAAAACCTGAAACTCTGTATCATAGAGGAGTTGTGGAATTCGAGTCAGTTATATGTTCCCCTTGGAAATGGGTTTGGTAACGTGATTTCACCATTTTCCTTCATCTTCTTTATTTCGTCATAGGGCATAGGCTAATGCATCTTTTTCCATGATGACTGAGTATTAGAAGCCGCTGAAATTGAGCTGCAGTTAGCAATGATACTTACACTCCCCCAAAATCAACGTAGAACCACCGCTGTAGCAATTCATACGTCAGCAAAGTTACACCAAATTGGGGTGAGGATCGAAACACACGAGCTTCAAAAAAAAAAAAAAAAAAGGGAAAATAACAGATATAATTAGATTTTTAAAACTTTACCTAATACCAAAGGTTTAGTTAAGGATGAATTATTTCCATACCGCCAGCTCCTTTCCACAAAGCTTTTGGGCCTTCTTCCCGCAGTATCTTCCTAAAGCAGTCCATCACTCCACTGTAAGTGGTTTGGCCGGCCCTGGCAGCCACCTGTAATCGAGTCTTGATAACATCAGCAGGGGTCACTAAAGATGCTGCCGGCATACCTGCAGGAAAGACACCACCAACGCAGTGTGGTCACATTCTCACTATATAAAAATAACTGTGCTTTGAACTACTGGCTGTGGAAAGAAAGTTAAGAATCCGATGAAATCAAATGTCTATTTCACTGTCCCCTTTGGGAAGCACAGCTTGACTATCTTGTCTGTGGTGATGGACGCTCTGACACACCTACATGCCTCACCTCTGCTTCCCCAAATCACCTGACCTCCATTTGTTATGCTTCTATTCTTGAATGGTTTTAAGAAATTATTTATCAATAACACTACTTCAAGTAGTTGAGAACCAACGGAGAAAGTTTTTTTTCTTTTTTTTTTTCTTTCCTTTTGAAATCAGAAACTTGAAAAGTTATTAGGTCCGATTTTTCAGAGGTGAAGCTTGTTATGCGTTTCCTCTTCACGCTTTTCTGTGGCTGCTGGCAGTCACAGGAGGTGCCTTTTCACACACATTCAACCACCCCCTTCTCTCCAAAATGCTAACCTCTCCAGTTACACCAGAAAAAGACTTTACTGATAGCTAAGCAAACACTGTGTGCGCGTGTGTATGTGCGTGGGGGAGACCAGAGGGAGGCTTCCATAGATAACACTTTAGGATTCCTTTTTCATAAGACTGACATCTCCAGAAAAAATATTTGACAGACCACTAAAAATTTATACTGGCTGATAATCAATGAAAAGGGAACAACACCACCACCACCACCAACAAACCCTCCCAAAATTACCAATGGGGAATTTTTCTACAGTCATTTTATCCAAAATGGGGCAGCCCATGTTTAGATATTTTAAAAGCGAGACTGTACTCAGAAGACACTGTCTCTTATGGTTTTATTACTTTTCCATTATGAACCTATTCCAAACCAAATTGGTCAAATGCAGATGCATAAATCTCCTTTGCTTTTTTTAAGGCTTAATAATTCTGTAAGAATTTCTGTCCAAACCAACGTGGTCTGGCTCACAACTACATGTCATCCTTCTAACAGACAGCTTTCAAGTTACAGTGTGTGCATGTGTGTCTGGGGAAATGTGCATAGTACACGTTTGCATTTTTATTACTAAGCTGAATCTCTTCCACTTCCATCTTGACTGAGCTCCTCAAACATTCATCTTTAGTAACCCCCTTTTTTTTTTTTTTATAAAACACATCACATTTTTGCATGTGAAAAAGCTTCCTTTATATCCACTGCTATACTGGATAGGTCACCCTGCATTTCCTATTAGCTTGGAGGAATTATTTTAACTTTGAGCCAGAAATTTATCCTCCAACAAAATGGAAGGAAACATGAAAAATGCTTAGAAACCCAGTGTTCACACCACCGATTTTGTTTTACTTCCTGGTTTAGAAGGAGTTTAGCAAGGCCGTCTGCTTTAGACATGCAATAAAATCCTACTCACAACAGTGGGCACTCATGTCCGAGTGTGACTGTGACAGACACACGGGCAGTAAAAGAGGTAAAAAGTTTCCTTCAGTTAGGGTAGTTCTCCTAAATAGTTCCTTGTTATGAAAAAAGAGAGAAGTATGAGGTGGGGAAGGGAGGATACTGATTAGTGGAATAAAAATGCCAAAAGAAATGTGTAAGATGTTTAGTAAGCTGTGTGGCAAAACTGGTGTGTTCTGTGTATGTGGCGCATGTGCGCGCGCGCACATGCATGCATGCTTGCGTATGCGTGGTAGCCTGCACAAGACTCTCATCCGCCCATCCCCGGCTCCCATCTCTCCTAGGCAGACCGCTGTGAGGGCCTCAGGGAAACTGTGGATATCTCTGTAGACAGGGGATTTCTAGTGAACCTGGAGAACAGCACCAGGCAGCTGCAAAGCAAGGCTGGGAAAGCAGCATCTATCTACTGGGAAGACCTTGGCCACCAGAGATCTGTTGATTTTCCGGGCCAGGGTTGGCAAAGGCTCTTGAGTGAATTTGCCTGGTCTCTCCTGGCTTCCAAAAGGCTAAGACAACATTAATTAAAAGGTCAAGTTTTCTCTTCCCAAAGATTGGCGGTGGGGGTGGGG